AGATATCCTGTATTCTGTGATGAAACACAAAACTAACATCATCATCCTCATTTATATTTGGAGAAGTTTGGGATGGAGACCCAACATGATCTCGCAGGAGGATAAGAATAGTGACAGAGTACCCATGGTGTATTTTCTGCAGTACTTGTACTTGCAGAGATACATTCATTCATTCAACCTTTATTTAGACAGAGAAATCACACTGAGCCTCAAAGACTCATTTACAAGTGAGACCTGTTTCTGATACATACAGGATACTTACAGGAGTACAAACACAACACTTACAAAGTAATTACAGGGTACTCACAGGGTAGATACAGGGTACTTACTAGAGTACACAACAGGTTTTTATTGGAGTAATAACAGTGTACTTTTGAGAGTATATAAAGGGTACTTACACGTACTTAAAGGGTACTTATGTGGGTGCATAAATGGCAGTTACAAGCTATTTAACATTAAGGTACTTAAAGGGTAATTAAATGTATTTTTGAGTGTACATCCAAGGTAATTACATAGCATTTCAGGAGAAGTTTGAGAGTATTTACAGGATAGTTACAGGGTACTTATGAGGTACATACCAAGTACATAGGAATCATATAACTTATGAGGTGGCATTACCCTGAGCTGTGCCCCAGACCAGCTCCCCTGCCTCAGGTGCTGTTAGAATGACACCACCCACAGAATGATCAACCAGAACCAGACCCAGTCCTTTTGTAATGCTGTTTTTTTTTTTAACTGTCCTGCTGACGATTAATTACAGTAAATGTTCAGTCTAATTCACTGTTCCAGCACATGATCTTTTTGTACCACCTCCAAAGATAACACAGGCCACTTCATTTTTTGTCTTTGCCTGCATTTTGCACAGCATCCCTCGTGTTTTGAAAACCACGTCCCACTTGTTTAATTTATAAACGTTAATAAGGTTATCGACTGCAAAGCTTCAGTCATACCAGCAGCTCTGCTCTGCACTGGAAACACAGAGGTGTTTAAAGCTAAACGTTAACAACAACAAGAAAAAAGAGCAACGCTAGCATGACATGTAGAAATGGTAATGCCTTCAACATTCTGTAGTATGCAAATTAAAAAATGTCCCTTATCTGAGTCAGGGGCTGCGATAACAGCACTAAACTGTTTTTCTGCTCACCTAACTTTAGTTTAACTCCCCCTATTGGCTGGAAGGAACAAAAAAAAGATTCAATTGTGTTTTAGTCGTAGTACTCTGTAAATAACAACAGCTTTAAATCCCAGAGGGGCCGGCTGCTTCAACAGTTCGACCTCACGTTCTCTGTCTTATGTAACCCGTTTAAAGGTTTCCCAACATGAACACATGTATGGCAGTCAAATGGTCACTTGTTTTGTCAGTAAAATAATGATAATGTTAGATTTAATGTCAGAAAATACAATAATGCAGCATTTTTGAGACATAAAACAGCTGAATGGTAACCACAAAGGATATTTAGTGGAGGAATTTGTATTATCTTAACAGAAATGTCTCTTCAGTGTGTCACAACTTAACAAAATATCATTTAAATATCCCACTTTGCCATTTAGAGTCGAGCTATATGCCGAATGAGCCAATAAAACTCACTTCAATTATATAATTCACCATCAACAAGGTGAAGTCATCAAGATGGAAAATGTGTCTCACCATAAACTGGGCGTGGCTCTGAATCATCCCGCCTGCACGCCTCCTCCATTCATCCTCCTGACAGTACGAGTGTTGCAATCACCTGACCAAAACCTTCTGGTTTCACAATAAGAACAAACATCAAGGCTCAAGGTTCTTTATTGTCATTCGCATCACATGTGGTACATGAGGTGGAACGAAACTGTGTACTCAAGGTCCCAGTTACATCCAAAAATAGCAACAACATCAACAAAAAAAGAATATAAAGTATAAAATAAACAGTATACAAGGGTCTGAACTATACGTTAAACACTAATAATGTAAAAATAATACGGTTTATTAAGCAGCAGCATGAACGTGATTCAGTGGAAGAATTTAGTTGACTTTATAATCCAGGAGTCTCTTCCAGCAGAGCATCAAAACAATCCTTTTGACCTGCAAAATGTGGAAAACCCCCGATATAAGCCTTGAACATCTGACCAGCCTTTAAGGGGAAAGCCATGAGGCTTAATCCAGATTATTCCAGACTACGAGTTGGAGCACGCTCATTGCGTTCCTTGCCTCTCATGTCCCCGTCTGGGTTATTTTAGGATCACAGTCACCCTGGGTTGTTTGCTACAGGGTGAAGTCTGTGTGTGTTTGAGAAAGGCCTTCTGTTCAGCAGCGCACAAACATTTCAGTTTTACAAACGTTTAAACCTCGTGGTACATGAACGTGATAAATAAAACCTGTCAGCACGCATCACTCTTTTTTTAATACCAATAGCAATTGGTCAGTGCTTATTCAGACAGACTAACTATATATTTTAAATAAATGAAATACCCATCTGTACATTTAGCTCTAAAAATATTCATTCATGCAATATTTTTTGGAATATTCTGTTTATAATCAAGGATCTTTATTGTCACATGTGGTACATGAGGTGGAATGAAATTGTGTAGACAAGGTCGCAGTTACACCCAAAAATAGCAAAAATATAAAGTAGAAAAATAAACCGTGTACAAGGATCTAAGATATATGCTAAACACTAATAATGTAAAATAATACGGTATGTTAAACAGCATATTAAATAATGCTGTTAAAACTTAACAAAAAGTCAAAGTAAATCCAGGAAGTGGGACCACTGTCTTTATTTTACTGAGCCTATGAACTTTTATCTCACAAATAATTTTGTCTCCTGTCATATTTCAGACCTGAGAATTAAAAAATGGGACAAATACAACCTGCGGCTACAAATTAAGAAAAAAAATTAAAATGTGATAAACCAAAACAAATAGATTTTTTGTAAAAACAAATGTGTACAAACCAGCAAAGTGGACCTTTAGTTTTGTCGACAAGTATAGAAAAATAGAAACCTTAGACAATTAAAAAAGAAAAGTTTAAATGGATTTAAATGTTTTTTGCACAGTCATTTAATGGTTCGAGGAAAGCAAAGTAAGAGAGGGTAAGGACGCCTGTGACATCTGATCCACTAGATGGCACAGAATCCAGAACAGCTGACCGAACCACGAGAACTGTTCTGGGAGATTTTTTAGTTTCATACAAAAATAAATCAGAGTCACCTTTTCAAAAAACACCTAGAACATTTTATTTCCTGTAAAGTAGGATCCCTGAGTCATCATAACTGGGATGCACCATCACACAGTGACACATGAATTGTTATTACCATATCACTTTATTTATAAAGCACTTAAAAACAGCAACAAGGCCAACCAAAGTGCTGTGCAGCAGAAAAAAACAAGCAAAGGACACAGGATAAAATACATAGATCCAAATAGGTAAAGATAAGAACTAAAAGGCTAACATTGTAGAGACAAGTTAAAATCAACTCACAGTGTCAAAAGTCAGGGAATAAAAATGACTTTTTAAACTTGACTTAAAAACAGTGAGAGAGACAGCCTGCCTGACATGCAGTAGTAAATAAGTCCACAGCTTTGGACCTGCACCAGAGAAGGCCCGGTCACCTCTGAGCTTAAAACGATGCCTGGAACCAATAAAAGCATCTGGTCTGCTGACCTCAGAGGTCACTGTGGGACATATGGCTGCAGCAGATCAGTGAGACAGGAGGGAGCAGAACTGTTCAGAGACTTAAATACATGCAGAAAGATTTTAAAATGAATTTGAAAGTGAACCGGGAGCCAGTGAAGAGAGGCCAGAACTGGAGTAATGCGCTCTCTTTTGTCTGTACCAGTTAAAAATTGGGCTTCAGCATTTTGAACCAGTTGCAAACGTGCAATGGAGGTCTAATTCCAAAAAGAAGTGCACTGCAGTAATCAAGCCTGGCGGAAATGAAATCATGTATTACAGTCTCAACATTACTTTTGGAAAGCATGGGCTTCATTTTAAACAGTCACAGCAACCGAAATGTTATTAGACATATATTTATCGAACACTGTGCTGCAAACTGAAGACAGAAAGGACAATCCAGACTTTATCAGTCACTCCCTTTTCTGTTTGTGATAATGTGCTTTTTATCATCAGTGCAGTTACCTTTATAAGTGCTATGTGTTGTCATCATTGTATGTTCCTATACAATGGTGAAATGAGTTCTCTGCATATAACCCATCGCACCTGGGATACACCCAGGTGGAGCAGAGGGCAGCAATGTAAGCGCCCGGGGAGCAGTTAGGGATTGGGTGTCTTGCTCAGTGACACCATGACATGTGGGAATGACTGGGTTTCGAACCCTTTCAGTTTCCGAGTCGGCTGCCCTGCCTCTACCCCATGATGTCTGTATTAATGCAGAAACATACCACCTTTAGACCCAGATCCAAAATAAATAAAAAGTAAAAACTATCAGTATCATTGGTTGGTTAACACTTTCCCTCTGGAAACCACCTATTTTATGGAATATTTATCTTTCACTTTCTGTTCTGTCCCAGCTTTAGGTGTGGTTGAGGAACGAAACTATACCAAGCAGTGATGTAAAGACTCAGGGCTGACGTAATGTAGATCTCTGTTTTTCCACGATGAGTTACCGTTTAAACAGCTGCTGAGGGCCTGACACAACTCCTGCAGGACGGAGAGAGAGAGAGGAACTAAACAAACAGTCGGCAACACCATGGAGGAGTTACACAACCTCTGTCCTACATAATATCTATCTATCTATCTATCTATCTATCTATCTATCTATCTATCTATCTATCTATCTATCTATCTATCTATCTATCTATCTATCTATCTATCTATCTATCTATCTATCTATCTATCTATCTATCTATCTATCTATCTATCTATCTATCTATCTATCTATCTA